TAAGCAGGGGGAAAAAAAAAGAATGTGGTCATTAATTATTCTGTTAAACACTGAGAAAATATACCTATTACAACTTCTTGTATAATCACTTGCCACTTAAGTAACTATGTATCAAACTCCTTTGGCTCTTTCCATGAGAAGTACTTATGGGACTCAGTTTTTTTTGTTTTTTGTTTTTTGTTTTCATTTTATGCAGGATTAAGCAGAACTTAGCCCAACTCAGAATCAAAATTCTTTAGGAAGCCAAAAGCTGAGAATATTCCTTTTTCAAAAGTGAAATTCCATTGTCAGGGAAATCACTAATACCAACTATCAAGGGAAAATGTCTCATTTCTATTGCAAGATCAGCTAAAGTGAAACTGCTTCTTTAGTTGCTAGGAAACAACCAACTCATTATATGCCATTATCAGAACCCTAGAGAAGAAAACTGGCATCTGCTTCACATTTGGGGATACTGAAGATTGAACTAAAAGCACTGAAACTGCTGCCAAAATCCCTGGTCTCCAGGGTTTACACTATGACCACAGCAGGTGCTGACATCAGACTAGCCTTTGAAGTTTTCCTTTATGTGGCTTTTTTTCTAGTAACTAAAATTGGTTTTTTCAATATCATATATTTTAAAACACAAAGATTCTTAAAAAAAAAAAAACTTTTCTCATTTGCATTAAACTAATTATATTTATGTTCAGGAGCATAATTCAGGAAAAAAAAACCCACTAATCAGGAATCTTAACAAATAACAGAAAAATAAAAAATTATCAGCTGTTCATTGAGTGAAATGTATTAGATGTTTATGCCTGTAATTATTAAAGACAAAATAGAAAATAAAAGGAAATTGTTTCAAATATCAGGAAAATAAAAAGGAATATATACTGATAAATCTGATAAATCCAATACTCAAAGTAACATTCTAGCATGTATCTGCCTACTTTTCCTAATTGATCTTAAAGTTTAACTTAAAAAAAAAAATCCTGGCATGCTTTTTTCCCAAGGCATCACAAAATGCATTCATGAAAATATACCATATTTATTCATCAATCTTTTCCCTTCCTTCTAGCAGATGAGGTTAGAAGGACATGTTGAAATTATGCATGTTGATTACTGAACAGTGGCCAGTTGAAACCAAGAGACTGCTATACTACTGCTTATGTATCCTGAAGAATAAGTTATTCTTCAGAAGAAGCTGCAGAGGTTGGTAAAGGCATTGAAAATCTTTCTTTATGAAATTACAAAGAACAATCCTGGTAGGGCTGCCCCATTCTGGTATAATTCTTTACTCCACCTCCCATTCTAATGTTTGCCTCATTTCCATTACTCCTGAGCCTGCCACTCTGAGCTAAATATATTCCCTTAATATTACCTCAAACTCTTATTCTCAAGCAATTCAACTCTACTGCATCATCATGTCTGCCTTCTCCCAACCTGACTCTTACCCACCTTCCTGTGTCTTTTACAAAACATCACTTCTATGTAGGGTTACCAGATTTAGCAAATAATAGTACAACTGACCCTTGAACAACACAGAGCTTAGAAATACTGATCCCCTCACAGACCTACATATAAATTTTGACTCCTCAAAAATTTTACTAGTAGGGTATTTACTAAAACCCTACTGTTGATCAGAAGCCTTATCAATAGCATAGTCAGTTATTACCATATAGTTTGTGTTATACATATTATATTTTGTATTCTTACAATAAAGTAAGCTAGAGAAAAGAAAATGTTATTAAGGAAGAGAAAATACATTTACTATTTATTAAGTGGAAGTGGATCACCAGAAAAGTCTTCATCCTCATGATCTTCATATTGAGTAGGCTGAGGAGAAGGAAGAAGAGAAGGGATTGGTCTTGCTGTGTTAGGAGTGGCAGTGGCAAACTCCTTTGGCTCTTCCCATAAGAGGTACTTAGGGGACTCAGTATTACTGTAGGGAAATACCTCATAATTTCTAGCTGACTTTTCTTTTTCTCTAACAATGTTTCTATATGGTATTGATCCTTCTTCCTCTGGTTGCTTTAGTTTTAGTGCCCGCATCATAGGAGGGTCAATGTAATAAAGGCCAAAAGCAGCCTTGAATAATCAAACCCTTCTGCCATGTTGTCTAATGCCAATTGGTTTTCTGGTACAGTTTCTTCTACTAATTCTTCCTCATCATCTGGCACTGGTTCAGAAGCACTCATCTCCAACAAGTTGTGTCCTGCTAATTCCTCTGGTGTGGTGTCTACAGGTCTTGAATTTCTTTAAGGTTCATATCTGGAAACCTTCATCTCTCTCCTTTTTTGCCATAACCTTATCTCTTTCATGATTTTTCTTATTCACTCTGTCGTAAATTCTGTGAAGTCACGAACAACATTTGCACACAGTTTTTCTCCAGCAGGAATTTCTTTTGGGCTTGATGGCTTTAATAACTTTTCATGATTTCTTCTCTACTAGGGTTGTCTTTCATAGCACTGACAATCCTTCCCATAGAGTATCCTGCGTAATGAGGCTTAAAGGTCCTTATAACCCCCGATCTAGAGAATAAATTAAAGATCTTGTGTTTGAGGGCAAGAAGACCACTTCAGCACCTTTTGTGTTGAACTCATGGGGTTCTGGGTGGCCAGAGGCATTGTCTAATATCAAAAGAACTTTGAAAGCCAATCCCTTATTGGCAAGGTACTTCCTGACTTCAAGAAAAACACAACAATGGGCCCAATCCAGAAAAGGGGTTATCACTCAATTTTATTGTTGTAAAACCCAAAAACTGGCAGTTGATATTTATCTTTTCCCTTTGAGGCTCAGAGGTTAGCAACTTTATAGATAAGGGCAGTCCTAATCATAAACCTAACTTCACTGGCACAAAATAGTGCAATTAGCCTATCCTTCCTTTCTTAAATCCTGGTGTTCACTTCTCTTCCTTACTAATAAATGTCCCTTGTGGCATTTTTTTTTCCAGAATGGGTCAATTCCATCTACATTAAAAACCTGTTCAAAGCATGGTACTAGTATAAAAATAGACACATAGACCAATGAAACAGAATATAGAGCCCAGAAATAAGGCCACACACCTACAACCATCTGATCTTTAACAATGCTGACAAAAACAGACAATGGGAAAGGACTCCCTATTCAATAAACGGTGCTAAACTGGCTAGCCATATGCAGAAGGTTAAGACTGGACCCCTTCCTTATACAATATATAAAAATCAACTCAAGATGAATTAAAGACTTAAATGTAAAGTGTCTGTTCATATCCTTTGCCCACTTTTGAATGGGCAATTGGCGCAATCTTGGCTCACTGCAATCTCTGCTTCCCAGGTTCAAGTGATTCTCCCGCCTCGCCTCCTGAATAGCTGGGATTACAGGAATGGCACCACCATGCCCGGCTAACTTTTTGTATTTTTAGTAGAGATCGTGTTTCACTATGTTGGCCAGGCTGGTCTGGAACTCCTAACCTTGTGATCTGCCACGTCGGCATCCGAAAGTGCTGGGATTATAGGCATGAGCCACCATGCCTAGCCCAGTGATTTTCTTAATGATGTCTGGGAACTCATCTGCTGCCTCTTGGTTGGCAGAAGCTGCCTCTCCTGTTGACATTTTCTAAGGCAAACCTCTTTCTAAAAGTATCAAACCATCCTGTGCTGGCATTAAATTCTCCACCTTCTTCATCTGTCTTTTGCTTTAAGTTGTTATGTAGATTCTTCATCTATCTTTTGCTTTAAGTTGTTATATAACAACTTCATTTTTTTCTCAAATAATATTAGAGTCTACAGGTATGCTTAACTATAGCAATCCTGTGCACATATATAAGCTGCATTTTCAATACAAAGTGAAAAGGTATTTGGCAAAACGTGCAAGCTTTTTGTGCCTGATAACGTTGCTATAGAAACTTCACAAATTTTCTTATCTTTTCTCACAATGGTCCTTAGGTTGGATTCATTTATCTTGAAATGGCAAGCAACTATAGCTGCAGACTTCATTCCATGATACATATCAAGCAATTCAACTTTTTTTGGTAATGTTGTGATTTTCCTCTACTCTTCAGAGCCTTCTAGCATTACTAGTGGCACTTCACATGGTACCATGGTATTATTCAAGGCTCACAGTATTATGTTAAACATAATGAAAAATACGTGAAAACTGTAAGACCTAACTTTGTACTGTAATACTCAATTGATTGGCGAAATGAACCGCTCACAAAGAGATCATTAGCACATGGCATTTTAAGTGGATACTCACACTTGAACTCACCAGCACAGCAACAGGAGGTAGCTAACAAAATTATCACAGCAGTACAGTATGTAGTACAGTGAATTTTATGCAGTCATAGCAGTACTGCATCTGTACATGTGTTTACATTTATCTTGACTGCCAATGGCACATTGAACAGTCTATAAGTTTGTATACATAAGTTTTGATAAATTTTAGCTTTTTATAATAGATTTCTGTATACTTTATAGTAGTACATGATAAAATACACTAGTATCGATATATATTTTATGCATTCATGACATATTTTGTTTTCTTAATTTTTTGATATTTCTAAGATACATGGTTCATCAGCAAGTTTTTTCAAGTTGTTGCAAATCTGTGAAAAATTTTTCAATATGGTTAACTGAAAAATATCCTTGTATAAGTGGACTCACACAGTTAAAACACTGTGGTACAGGAAACGTAGTCAGTTATGCCTCAATATGAGAAACACAATGAATTTTTTTTTTTTGAAACAGGATCTCACTCTGTTGCCCAAGCTAGAGTGCAGCAGCATCATCACAGCTCACTTCAATCTCACATTCCTAGGCTTAACCAGTCCTCCCATCTCAGCCTACCAAATAGCAAGACTACAGGTGCATGCCACCATGTCCAGCTGTTTTTTATTTTTTGTAGAGATGGAGTCTTGCAATATTGCACATGTTGGTCTCAAACTCTTGGCCTCAAGTGATCTTCCTACTGTGGTCTTCCAAAGCACTGGTATTACAGGTGTAAGCCATACTGAATAATATTTTAGTATGGGCAGATCCCAAGCACTCGCTTCAGCAGCACATATACTAAAATTGAAATGACACAGAGAAAATTAGGATGGCCCTGCTAAAGTATGACACATAAATTTGTGAAGCATTCCATGCTTTTATGAAAAGCAATAATAAATGCTGGCGAGGATATGGAGAAAAGGTAGACCCTAAATTATTCATTGTGTATCTGATACTTAAACTTAACTGGGTATCCTATATATTACCTGGGAACCCTGCTCCCAGTGTTTGATACCTTTATCCTTGACATTTTTATTGCTTCACCAGAAACCTGATTTTTCTCACATAATCTCATTTCTAAATTTTTTTTTTTTGAAAAGCCTAATTTTTCCAATATCCCGCCTTCTCTGAACACAACCAATTTATTCATCACTTTTTACACCTTTTCTTCCACTAGCTACTGAATTGCTTCTTCCTCATTCCAAGTGGTTTTCATATTTGATCTCTCCAATTTTACCCACTCTCCTGATCCCTCTTGACTACCTGTGTTTCCTGAAACCAGGACTTCATTGTTCTACTCATTAATTCCCTGGCTATTTTTCCCCTTTGGACTTTCTGCCATACCAGATCTTTACTATTCCTAGATCTAACAATAGGTTTACTCGTCACCTTGCAGGCTTCAAAGGATTATTGAAAACAGTTACAAAAACTTGGCAAAACTAAAAATTTTGATATTTGGCATCCAGTAGGCCTTTGCTGCTACACAGGGATTCTATCATTCATCTTACCTCTTTTTTTTTTTTTTTTTTTTAATTCCTCTGAAAGCAGTTAAAAAGCACTACCTCTGTACCATTGTGTGTCTAAGCCTGATTTTAGACCCACCAGCATTAGAGTCAACTGGAATAATCTAATTAAAATGTGAATTCCTTGGCCATACCTGGGACCTATTGAATAAAAATATTCAAGTAGGAGAGTAGAACAAAAAGGCTATAAATTCAAATTTTAAATCTATTCTCCATGTAATTTTTAGGAACACTACAAATTGTGCATCATTGCTCTACTGAATAAATGCACCATCTATTCCCTGCAACTGGGAAAAATTTATTTTGTGAACCTCTTTTTTAGTGGCAGGAAGGATGAGGTTACTTCATCTGCCCTGTTTTCTATTCCAAGCACAAACTTGGAAGAACTTTTTCAAAATAACTTACCTCTCTGACCTTTAATCCTATTCCCTTTTGCCTTTTTCATAATTTTTTAAAACAATCCTCTCATTTTCTATAATCTTCACTGCCTCTTCACTGAAACATTTTACCTTGGAAAAGGATGGCTGTCCTCTTTATGAGAAAAACAAACAAACAAACAAAAAAGGCTTTCATTTGATATATCACTCCGTTTAAGCTACTATCCTATTTTCCTTTACTTTCCCCCACCCTGCCCCCAAATCCTTGAAAGGCCTATTTTATCTAATAAGCAAAATACACCTATACCTACATAATCTTGTTGTAAATGTATTCTTAAAACCCCATAATCTAACTTTTTTCATTCCATGTTCTACTAAGGTTTACATATTTCCATCTAACATCTATTATCCCCTTGATAGGTTCTGTCTGACCTATCATTCTTAAAACTCTCCACACCAGTGACTCCCAAACTTGTCACAGACTGGAATCAGGTGGACAGTTCCAAAAATGATAATGCCTGGGACACATGCTCAGGGTTTGTAATTTAATTGGTCTGAGGTGTGAGCTGAAATTTGAAAAAATTTTAAATCCCTAAATGATTCTAATATACAGATATGTTGGAAAACCATTGCTCCAAACATTTAATCTTCATGACATTAGTATCTTTAGTTTTTCCTACATTTTTAACTACTTCTTTTCCTGTTTACTAACTCCTTTCCCTCTCACTAAATCACACACCTCCATATATGAGGGTTAGCCAAAGAGAAGTCCACAATTCATTACTCTTCCCTTACTATAATCAATATTAATTCAAGCCATGAAAATAGAACAGGTGTCTCAGGGATAATGCTGGTAACAACATTGATATCTATTATAATATCAATAAATCTAATATATCACTAATTGTAAGATGCATCATTATTTTATGTAGCACTAAATGAAAGAAGTGCCTCAGATAAATTGGGGTCTAATAGGAGAATCCTACAAAAAGCTAGGACCCCAAAGGACTACACCATCTTAAACCAAAGATAAATAAAATATAAATCCACAATTTAGAAAGAAATCTCTCAACTTGGGCCATGACAAAGGGGAGAAAACACCTCCTTAACAACATGAACCACCAGTTGGTACACATGTAGCTTTCCAATCGGTATTCATGCCACCAGAGTGGTCCCAAAAACTTCTAACAGATAATTTAGTTGAAAGTGCCTCAGGTTAAAAGTGTTCTGGGTGACTGCAGAAACAACACAAAACCTCTCTGACAGGACCCCACCTCAATCCAGGGATAAAGCAATGCTGAGAAGCTGTCAATTGCAAAATGCATCTTGATTGAAGATAAGTTAAAATGTGAAAAAATATATATATATATCCAGATAAAATAAAATAATAACAGAACTCATGTACATGCCACTAGGTTTCCTAAGCATTTAACACATATTAGCTCACTGAATCCTCATGATGTGGGAACTACCATTAACCCCATTTACAGATGAGAAAACAATAGCTCAGAGAAATTTCTGCCCAAGGTCACATAGCTATCAGATATGGAAAATGGAATAAACTCAGGCAGATGTGACTTTTGAGTCCATGCCCTTAGCTATTGAGCTATGGACATAATTTTGGAAAGCATCAATATTTAAGGGATAGGCAAGAAAAAATGACCCAAAGATAACAAGGAAATTATGAAAACTGCCAGAGGAAAATAAAACAACTCACAGAAGAACAACTACAGAAACTGCTACTATGGTAGTAGCAGTTGAAGGCCAGAGGATAATGGAACACCTTTCAAGACTTAAATTTAAAATGTCAACTCAAAACTCTATATACAGTGAAAATAAGGAAGGAAAAATGAAGACATTTCCAATAAATAAAAGTTGAGAAAATTCATCACCAGCAGACCCAACCACAAAAAAACACTAAAGGAAGATCTTTAAGATAAAGAAAAACAGTAGCAGATGAAACTCAGATCTAAAGAAAAATTGAAAAGTTCTGAAATCACAAGTGGGTGGGTAAATAAAAAAGATCATTTATTAATTAGCTTAAATGATGACTAAATAAGCTTTATAGCATTGTATGTTTTATAATGCACGTATATTTAAAATATATCACAATAAATACAGGAGATAGTGAATGGTACTGTATTATTGCAAGGTGCTACAGTTTGGAAAGATGTCCCTCCAAATCTCATTTTGAAATTGTATCTCCAATGTTGGACATGGAATCTAGTGGGAGGTTCTAAGGTCATGGGAGAGGATCCCTCATAAACAGCTTGGTTCCATCCTTATAGTAATGAGAGTTCTCCCTCTATTAGTTTCCACAAGAAATTGTTGTTATATATAGGAAAAAAAAAAAAAAAAAAAAAAGCTATGACCTCCTCCCCGCCTCACTTCTCTCTTGTCATGTGATCTCTGCATGTACTGGCTCTCCTTTGCCTTCACCATGAGTGGAAGCAGCCTGAAACTTTCAACAGAAGCAGATGTTGGTGCCATGCTTCTTGTACAGTCTCTAGAATCATGAGCCAAACACACCTGTTTTCTTTATAAATTACCCAGCCTGAGGTATTCCTTTATAGAAACACTAAATGGACTGAGACACGGGATTTTTCACTTCATATTAAGTAGCACAATATTAACTTAAAGCCGACTGTGATAAGTTAAGAAAACATATGATAATCCCTAAAACAGTCATAGAATAATAATACCAAGAGGTATAGATACCTAAGGAGCTAATGGAGAATTTAAATGGAATTCAAGAAATATTTCATTTATCCAAAGAACATAAGAAAAAAGAAAAAAACAGGTGAAACATATGAGGAAAAAATCAAAATGGTAGACTTAAACCTAACCATGTTAATAATTATACTAAATGTAAATGAACTAAGCATTCCAATTAAAAAGCAAAGATTATCAAACTGGATAAAATAGCAAGATACAACTAAATGTTGAAAACAAGAGACTCACTTTAAATATAATGAAATAGAAGGTTAAAAGTAATTCTTTAAATTCCATGAAATTGTATGCATAAAAAAGCAAATGTGGCTATACTGATATCAGATAAAGTAGACTTCAATATTAGGAGTTTACTAGAGATACAGAGGAGTAGAGTATTTTATAACAATAAAAGAGCAAATTCACCATGAATACATAACAATTCTAAATATGTGTGAGTGTAAAAACAGAACTCCAAAATATATTAAGTAAAAACTGAAATTAAGGGAGAAATGGGCAAATATACAATCATACCTGGAGATGTTAACACTCCTCTCTCAGTGATTTATAGAATAACTAGACAAATCGATAAAAATACAGAAGAAATTGAACAACTCTGTCAACCAACTTGATCTAAATGATATTTACAGAACATTAACCAAAATAATTTTAAAATGCAGTGTTTCCAAAAGCATATGAAATATTTACAATGATGGATCATATACTGGTCCACAAAAAGAAAATCTCAAAACATTTTAACAATGAAATATTACAGAATGTATTCTCTAGCCAAAACAAAATTACACTAGAAATTAATGCCATTAAGTTATTCAGAAGATCTTCCAATGTTCAGAAATTAAACAACATACCAAAAATACCTGTAGGCAAAAGAAGAAAGCTGGAAAATATTTTTAACTGAATGACAATGAAAACACCAACGTATCAGAATTTGAGAAAGGTTAAGCAATGCCTAACAGATAAATTTACAGCCTTAACTACTTATATTTTTTTAAAAAGAATTATTTACTTTGGGAGGGTGAGGCGAGCGGATCACAAGGTCAAGAGATGGAGACCCTCCTGGCCAACATGGTAAAATCTCGTCTCTACTAAAAATGCAAAAATTAGCTGGGCATCGTAGTGCACACCTGCAGTCCCAGCTACTCATGACACTGAGGCAGGAGAATCACTTGAACCTGAGAGGCAGAGGTTGCAGTGAGCAGAGATTGCACCACTGCACTCCAGCCTGGCAACAGAGCCAGACTGTCTCAAAA